CTATCTATCTATCTATCTATCCTTTTTATATATTTTTAAAATACTGAGCTCTGTCTACTTCATTTGGGGATTAGGACCAGCCCACAGTCAAATATGTTTAGATCTTTTGAAAGATAGAAATCCTAGATAAATGCAAATCGATTATTCATATATTGCTTTCTTACGGTGCATTTATACTGGACACAAATGCAGCAAATTTCTTGTGTAAATTGAAAATTCCAACCATCCGCTTTCCCCTTGCTGGTTCCTGTTGCCTGTTTGAATGACCTTGACAGAGCTCAATTTTACCAAGTGATTTACAGAGAGTCACAGCACACGTATGAAAGCTGAACAACAGTGTTGGCCTTGGCATCCCTGATCCACAAAATCCTCTCCCAGTCCTAGAAGTACCACCACCGGCTCCAGGAGCTGTGGCTGGATGATTGGTTTCACTGGTGCCTCTTTGTGTCCATAACCCAGTATCAGGAACTGCATTACAGTGGAAGAGAGACAGTCATTTTTGCACATATTGCCATCATTTGCCATATCAGCCAATTTGCATCATTTGCATCAATCGAATCACATCCTTCTGATTCCTGACCATTAATTTTATCATGAACAAGCCTGTACACAGGGATAATGTGACTCACTTAATCAACCAGCCACATTGGAATTTTTTTAAGTCGTTGCTAATTCCTCAAAGTTTTCTTTCACCTTTGCACAAGGATGCTTATTTACAATCTAAATAATTAACCTACAAATATAGAAGGTTTTAGCAAGTTTACCATCAGTTTCATGTTTTATTAGTATCATCAGCATGCCTTTGATCATATCAGCTGCACAAGAGGATACAGTTGGTACTCCACAGTGCATTACTCCACAGTGCCATTAACCTGGCAAGCCAGACTAAAAATCTGTTGCTCACAGATTTAGCTGTACATATGATCGATCTGGGAATGCTTGCACTATTATGTTCTTGTTGTTCCTCTTTCAAAGATTAAATTGTGGATTCAAACAACACAGATGTGGTTGCAGCAGCTACTGTACTCGTCCATCCTACGGTGCTGCCATATCGATTTAGGGTTTCCTATGGCCAGGCAGCTCTACTTTTGTCTCAACTCTATGTCCCGTTTTAAATAAAAATACCCCATGTAATTGCAGACACGTTTTTGGGCTTGTCTAAAAAGGAGACCAGTTTGAGTGTTACAAGATGGGTTCTCGTATTTATAAATGCACAAAGACTGCAAAAATTCAGTGTACAGCAAATTTACCTGGACAGTAAATGACAAAAGTGCAATAAAACACACAACACACAATTTATTCTGAGTTAATCACATCTAAATTCTTAATTGTTGTTTTGTTAAGTTTCATTCCAATTATTATGCAATGAATTATAAACTTAACAAGGTTAATATTTGAAAACACATAAGCTTTATATTATACAAAATTCCTAGAGAAAACACCCTGGGGGTGTTGAAGGAGCTGTCTGAAATCTTCAGTAAATTTACTGATAACGCATCCAAGGAATTTAGCATTCAACATTACACTATCAAGTAAAGAGTTTATTAGTAAAGGGAAATTAAAATAGCTTCCAAAATACCCATGTGTGCTCTTCCAAGCGAGTTCCCTCTGAGAGCTCTTGTCCTAAAATGTGATCACAGGATAGGTAACACAGTTTTGATTCTGTTAATAAAAAAGTGCGTGCCCATTCTACCAGAAGGATATTGGCCTTTTTTAACTTTCATTGAAAGTGAAAGTGCGAGAGAAGAACGTTTTTGCTCTCTAAGAAAAACAGGTTAGTCAGATTAATCATAGCCAGATCACCATCATAGACTTCAACATGTATTTTTTACTCATTACTTATGCGTCTCATGAAGTGGTGGTCTGCTGGGCGAGTTGAGTAGACCCGTGTGTTTAGCAAGCATTCAATCATCACTTGAACATGCCTTTTTCGTGTGTTGTTGAAGGTTGTTCTAACAGATGAAATCACAAGACCAATAAAGGATACTTTCATGTTCCCTGTGAAGATATTAAAAAAGAGCCTCTCACTAAGGATTTCTAGAAAAGATGCAGGGAAAATGGCTTACTAACATTTTGTTGACTTCAAGGGAGCTGAGTCAAAAAATGCCAGAGTTTGTAGTGACCACTTTTTGTAAAGGTGCTATGATACAACATTGCTAAAAATAAGGAAACAGTGATCAAAGCATGACCAGTGAATTATTGTCACACACTTTCCCCCCCCCCCTGTTGTGGCTGAGACAAAGATCCCCTTTGGTTCAGAAATTTTCAGCTTTCTTCAGATTCTCTCATTCAAAGACCAATCACCTTGTAGAAGCTGTGATGCAGGCGCTTTTTCCTCAAACATCACTTTACTCAGACCAATCAAGATAATTCTTAGTTATTCTCTGTAACTGTATACTCAATTACCTTGATTGGTATAAGTAAATATTTTTCTTGAATCAATTTAAAAAGTATCTTTTTTAAAATCACTTATGCCGAATAGAACAGAACAGAAAAGAACAGAAAGGAATAAAACTGAATATTCCTTGTTTTCATTACATCAATACCTACACTGAAAAAAGTATATTTTTTGGTGCAGTAAACTCTATTACAGTATTTGTCATAATTTTTTTTCTGTATTTTTAAGCTTCAGTTAAAATTAGAGCTTCTGAAGTAAAATTAAACCTTTTTTTAATATAATACATGAACTTTGGGGAAAGAGTAAGTTTTAATTAGATTTCCATACACTAGTTTAATGTTTTATAGCAGTATGTACATAAACCTAAAAATACTACATAAAATTTAAACGTCTAAAAATGTAGCGTTTTGAAATGCACGCATGGCACATGCGCACTGTAACTCACAGCACGATTGATACTGGTCTGAGTCCAGACGTTACAGGATCACACACAGAGCAAGAGGTAGTCCCAACAACAGTAATTTTTGCAGGGTGCAAAAGGACTGCCAAACCCTGAACCTGGCATACCCTGCCACTTTGCACTACACTTTTGTACACTTTTTCTTCCAAAAACTTTTCCTGGAGTTGGATGGATTTAAACTGTCCCCAAAAGTAAACACCCTGAAGTTAAAGTTGCTTTCCTAAATGCATTCATGACTTTGTCATCTTAGGGTAGGAGAATGTGGCATCAAATGCCAAGAATTAGCCGTGGGTTCCAGTTAATCTTAGTGGAGGGATTGCCTGTCATTAATGTTTTTTAATTTTATGCCAAATAAGGTATGTGTTATTTTGCAAAAAATAAAAGATACCTTTATTCAAATATCTAGCAGAGATTTAATTTTTCATTGAGGTTGGTTAGACAATTTAAGCAGTTAATCTTTAATTGTGTTATTTTGTTTCATTAATGTTGTAATTGCAATCTTAAAAGTCCACTAGTCTGGAGGAGAGGCAGAGGTGGGTCTTTGTAGCTTTAATGAAATAAACACAGGTAACAGAGGCGGGAATCCAAAAATCCAACATAAAAAATATAAAACAAACCACAACCATGGAGACATCAGAGGAAAACAAAAACTAGGAGCCAGGGTATATGAAGTAAGACAAAGAAAGACGGACCACGACGAGGAACCAGAGCTGAGGAACTGCACAAGGAGAGTATTTATGGTAGACTGAACAAAGAGAGGACTAACAAGCAGATTGGGAGCAGGTGTGAAGAGAGCAGTCTAGGAAGAAGCTAGGGGTGTAAATCACACCCCTCTTGGCGATGTGATTTAGCATCGATTTGCTGACCCAATGATTCGATTATTTTTGAAACTCAAGTATACGCCACGATACGATTCGATTAATTCGTTAAATTTTTTTTTTTTATTAACCTTACAGGCTAGACAATGTTTCAAATTTGAAATAAATTAATGAAACCTCTAATATGGTTATGCATTTTATTTGAGAAACACCAGCAAATAGCAGAAGTAGAAAAGTTGTACTACACCTAGGCCTATTAAACCTCATTCACTGAAATATAATAATGCCCCTGCGTTATAGATTCTGAATGGCCTTGCTTAAAAAATACAGCACAATATCAGTGCAATGAATACAATCCAATACCTCGGCTCCAGAGTGTCGACGTCCCCACCCCTTCCACAGACACTCTGCTGCACCTCTCCCAAATTGTAGGAGACCACAGACAGTGCCGCAGACAGGAGGCCGGCTTGTTTTGTTTTTATGACCGAAACTGCGGAAAACAACTCATGAAGTTGGACCCGCTAGAAGAGCTGAATCGATACTTTTGCTGGGGTGTCGATGCATGGGATCGTCGGATGGATCGATACAAAATTATTATTTACACCCCTAGAAGGAGCTAGGGAAAGGAAGACAAACACAAGCGGGGAACAAATAAAAACCTTAGAACTCAAATATATCCAGAAAATACAACAAAATAGGAATTAAACCACTAAAACTAGAAAACATGGAGCAAAGTAAAACATAACAGAACCAAGACCGTGACCATTTTTACTCCATAGAAAATCAGGAGGTCAGAAACAATGATTTACTGAATTACAATAAAATAAATAAATGTTCCAGTTATTGTTGTTAGCGCTAGTATATAAAAAGCAATCATTTATTGGATATTTGAGTAATATTACTCGATAAATATAGCCTGCTTGAAATTAAAGCCTGATTTTTTATATCCTGCTACGAATAATCCACAGCAATAAAATATTAGTAATTTTAAGTTTTGTTTTGCTTTTGTGTTTTTTTTTTTATTTTACCACGACGCCCACAAAATTCCTCTGCGCCTTTGATATGTTCCACAGAAATGGAGGGACCAACCAAGCATTTAAACTAAATGCATATTTTCGGGTCTCCTCTTACTAATTAAAAGTTGTCAGACGCTGCTTATTTGGTGCAACTTAAATGAGCTTTTATGGCTCCGCAATCTTACATGAGTGTGCGCTTCCACATCCTCTGGGGGGTTATTCGCTCTGGACCCCCCTGCAGCCTCTCTCCTCCTCTCCTCTCCTCTCCTCGCCGCGCGCTGCTCGATGCGCACGGCACAACAGATGGTACAGTACTACTAACTGCAGGAGCGCAAGTATTTGGCTCGAAGTACTTTTATACCTCCAAACTTCGCCGGAACGCTCAGATTCGGGGGAAGTGTTGCGGTTCTCCGTGGTCACACTCGACTTCTCGACAGTCAGTGGATCTTGAATTTAGAAGCGCTTTTTGCTGCCAAGGTAAGTTAGGATCTCTGAAAAGCGCGAAATGTTTCTCGGCGGTTATCGGAAACGACGCGGTCTCATCTGCTTCCTGCACCATACAGCACATTTCTTACAAATTGTTTGTATTAAATGGATATTTCCCTGACAAAAAACTGTTGAGTAATGGTGACAGTAAGAGGGAGAACAATGCCTTTTGATAAAAACAATAAAAACAAAACAAAAAAACAACAGCAACCAAACAAACACGATTTTACTGTACTGTAGGCTATACAAGAAAATATATATTCGAGTAAACCTCTCTTCATAAATTATAAAACGGATTAATTTTAAGAGTGAAGTAGAGACATTTAAAGGGGGTTGTGATGAATTTTAGACTTCTTCCTGATCGTAAATTCTTAGTTTGTTTCAGGGGCTTTGAGTTCTGATCAGGAGTTTATTGCAACACTTTATCTCGCTGTGGCTCCGCAGGCGCATCGCTCTATAGTTTGGTCCTGATGCTGCAGCCCTCCGAGGGTCCTGCAGTCACAACACAGGGCTGACATTCAGTGTCACTTATTGCGACTGTTGGAAACAATAAAATAAATAATAATAAAATAAATAAATCAATAAATTTTGCAGGTATTAAAAAAACAACTAACTATGCACTTAATTTTATGGAAATCCAAAAGTGCCACAATTCCACAAATAAATCAATAATTATCAAAATAGGTGATTAGTTAGTAAATATCAGTAACCATTAAATTTGGATGAGAAATAAAATATATATTTTTACCCACTGCACAACTGAGCAGCCCCGCAATTTAAATCATTTTAAAAAACTTTTAATTTTCTTTCTTGAGAAACCTCAGAGAACCTGATTTTCAGCCTGAGTCTGTGTTTCATTTCGAAAGTTTCTTGAAAGTGTGAATAGACTGTTGTTGTTAGGGAGGAAACTAGAGATAGGCTGATGCATCAGCCTGCCAATATTTTTGGTTGATATTATGATTGTGAAATGCTAATATAGGTATAATCCAATACGTGTCTGCATTTCCTCTCCCTTCAGCTGCTATCCATTGTTTTTACTTTGCTTGATGTTTTAATAAATATTTATTTTTAGTTTAATTTGAGACTTGTGAACATTTGCTATAAGTGGGCCTCACTCAAGAAGTGTTTGTACGAATGAATCCATTCCTGCATTGTTTGCACAAGTAATTTAGGAGAAAATGTAACATTCACCATTTTTCTCCTACTTCTATTTTCTCGGGAATTAACAAATTTTACAAGTTCTCCAGACTTGCTCTATTGGTCAGCTGTTATCCAACCCTAGTTTTTCACTAAATGACCTCATCTGCTTTTCTTTGGAGCAATTGTCAATTTTTTAGGCTACATCCTTAAATATTATGTAACTCTGTAATTATAATTTACATTTTACTGATGACAGAACTCATATTAAGCATTTACTTCATATATTGCTCCTCTTCCTTCCCCTAGTGGATTTCATTGAGTATTTTCAGATCAGGATTTTTATTTTGGTTTCCATAATAGTGCAACCACTGCATTTACAGCTGTTGTGGGATTCAGCTTTGCAATCCCGTTAAATAAAGGAGATAGATGTTAATTCACTCAGTTGGCATTTTATTATCCCTCTTTGCAAAAAAAGAACAAGACAATCACAACAGCCCTTTCAGGTCGATGTTCTGCCCTGTTGTGGTTAGACACAAGTTCCCCTCACTAACTTAAACCCAATAGAACGGCTGTGAAGGTTGTCAGAGCTCAGCTAATCAAAACCATTAGAGACAGTTGAGGAAAAACAGTAAAATGTCTTAATGTCAAGTCTATAATGTTATGAGAAGGATTACTTTTATCTCAAACTCTCCCTAATAGGACCAACAACTCCTCTTCCTTAGGCACTTTGATTTATTTTCCTGTATGGATTGTACTGGTCCTTTGATTCAGCTGCTAAGCTCTCAGTCAGCAGATTCTCAATGTCCAAACCAGTAATTTTTTTCTGATAGTCAATTCTATTGTTATAAATGAAAACCTGATAAACGTGGTAATTCATAGCCTTCCCACTAATATGCAGCCTTACATGGTATTATTGGGGCAGGAATTATGCAGATTTACATCGAGAAAACTCACTAACCTAACAGGTGGATTGCATAAGGTTTACAAAGATCATTTCCTATCATTTACTTAAGGAAGTTTTTTAAAACTGATGCGGTGGCATTCAGAACAGCCAACAGTTGGAGTAAAAGTAAAAGAAAGAGTATGAAGAAGAATACTAAAATGTTGTATGAGGCCTATTGCGTTATTTTTATCATGTAAATTGAGGAAGGAAAGGCAATATAAGCTCCAACAATCGTCCCAAAATAGCACTGTGAATTGTGTAGGCTTACTTCTAAATAACTGGTAACAACATCAGCCTAAAAAAAAAAAAATGTATTAGTCGATCTCTAAAGCAGACTGGTAAAAGGCTTGAGAAGCGATATAAGGTCTGAACCAGTTGGTGACAGAAAAAAAATGTCAACCAGCCCAACAAAAACAATCAGACCGGCTGCATTCCGATTTTCTGTTATTTATTTCCTGTATAATAAAAAAATATATAAATAGGAAGAAAGGGACAGACAAAATAATTCTTTTTAAGCATTGTCATGCAGATCTAAAGTTTTTTGAGACCAAATTATGAGTTGGGTATTTCAGTGCTTAAAAGTTTGTTTTTTAAAATATGAATTGGAATTTATTAAATTTATATCTGTAAAAGGGATTGTCCTCACTATTTTTTTAGACCACTAGAAAAAAGGAAAACTTGTGAACAGTGTGCGAAATACCTGTCAATATTTGGGGGGGTCCCCATCTCCCGATTGTTGTGCAATACCAATCAAAATTTTCTCAAGATGCAATAGGCCTATACCATTACAATGTCAAAGTTAAAGTCAGCTTTAATGTCAATTCTTCACATTCACCAGACATACAAGGACTCGAGAGGACGTTTCTCATTCATCAACAGTGAAACAGATAAAGTGCACAGGCACAACAGATAAGATCAGTTCCTAATACAAAAATTTAAACATTCAATTTCACAATAAAATATAAAATGTACAATAATATAAAATAAACAATGCTTATGCTAGTGCAAAAAGTCAGATGGTAATGGCAGGAGAATGAAGCTTTTTGTGAATCTGGTGGAGCGGTCAAGAGCCTGAACAGTCAGTCTATGAAAACACACACATGCACAAAGACTGTCTGTCTCTCTGTCTCTCTCTGTCTCTCTCTCTGCCTGTCTCTCTCTTTCACACACACACGCATGCACGCACATATACAATCACTCTCCAACTCCAAGGCTAGGCTGCTTTACTAAGACCACAACCAAACACAAGGCCTACATACAGGACAATTTATAAAATAGCCTCTTACCTTAAGTTAGAACCGACCAAAGATGCCTTCTTGTGGTTGCCGTCCTGGTTTCCAGGAAGAAGAGAGGCGATGTCCTGCTTTAATCTAGTTTCTGACGAATGGAACTGGGTCGAATTTGTCCAGAAGAGGTCCATTGAGGTCCACAAACAGGAGTGAAGACATGCTCTCTTCACACAATCTGTTCCGCGTCTGGTTGTGTTATTAAGTGCTGAAGAGCACATGGCTAATTTGCATACTCGAACAGGATTGGCTGGCTCCACTTGGCAAAAAATTGAACGTATTTGTGAATAAATGTTTTGAATTTTAAATATTGGACATGATGAGCTTAAAAATATTTTAGTGACCATTGGTGACAAAAAATGTTTATTTTTAATGTTTTGACACAATTTAAGACCCCCTTCAAATTTTGCTTTTGAGGCTTTCAGAGGGTTTCATGGGTTAACCAGGGGGGTCAAGCCCCCCCAGACCCCCTAGTATTACGCACTCTGCCTGGGAATATTTGGAACATAGAAGCAAACTTGCCTTTTCAACCATTTGGCAGAGATATTCTCTACACATATTAGGTTCTTTGTATGCAACTTATGATTATTTTGCCAACCGATTTATCTGCCATTACTTTTTATTTAGCAATAATAATAATAATAAAAATAATAATAATAATAATAATAATAATAATAACAATAACAATAATAATAATAATAATAATAATAATAATAATAAGAAATTAAGAGCAAAAGGTACTTTTTTTAGTAATTTTTTTACAATCGGAACCAGTTGAGGTTAAACTCTGCCACTTGAGAAGCTCTGGATAGAATAGAGCTTTTTTTTTTTATCCTTAATGGAAGATATGCATATATATTTTGCACTGTTTTGGACTAATTACGTCTGTGAGTTGGCTGAGTTTCAGTAAATAGCATTCTTTGGGTTCTGTATACTCCACTTAAAGTTTAACTACAGAATAAGGTCATATTTTGAAATAATTGATTAATCATGATTAACATAACAGTTTTTAGTCTTACATTTTAACAAGAAAAAAAGTTGAAATCTTAATTTCAAATAAAAAAATTGCTATGAAAAATATTTTCTTATTTTGCTACCTATGGTGACATTTTATGCACACTGTAACCATTGGTCATTAGTGAGAAGTAACGTATTTGGGACGCTTTTGTGCAAAGCATAAGATTTTCCAGTCTGCATATTATTTTAATGTTGACTACGCCCCAAATGCGATGGGCCTTTTGAACCTCATGCTGGCCCTGCTCTATGTTAGATAATAGCTCTGTCAGTACCTGACTAATATTTACATATTGTAGTTCAACTAAATTTGAGATAGATCACTAGGTGTACACTTGGCAGCTAATTCAAATGTATAGTTAATGATCCAAATTCCTTGAGCCCAAGAGGAAAATAAAATAACCAACTTAAGCATTATCATTATAGATTAATGCTGTTCATCCTTATGCTCTGCCCACATCAGTTAGCTGATCATAATGATTTTTACAAACCAAAAAGACCTCCTTCAGAACCCCAGGTGGTCCCTTGGCTGCAACAGCAGCAGCCAGCCACTTACAGGAAACAGCAGCACACCACCACATAGCCTCCCAGCGAGTACACAATTAGAT